CTCGCCCCCGGGCGGTCGGGGGCGGCGAGGGCGGGCGCGGCGGGCGGCCTCCGAGGGCGCCCGAAGGCGAGGATCACGGGGTCCCCCGGGAGCGAATCTCCACCTCCTCCTCCGCCTCCTCCACGATCTCCTCCATCTCCTCCGTCTCCTCCATCTCCTCCATCTCCTCCGTCTCCTCCATCTCCTCTATCTCCTCTATCTTCTCTATCTCCTCTGTCTCCTGTATCTCCTCAATATCCTCCATGTCCTCCATCTCCTCCATCTCCTCTATCTCCTCTATCTCCTCTATCTCCTCTATCTCCTCTGTCTCCTCTATATCATCTATCTTATCTCTCTTCTCTATCTCCTCTATCTCCTCGGTATCCTCGATATCCTCCTCCTCCTCCTCCTCCTCTTCCTCCTCCTCCTCCTCCCTCTACTCGTCTCCCTCTTGTTCCTCCTCGTCATCGTGCTTTTCCTCCGCCTCGTTGTCTTCCTCCTCTTGCTCCTCCTCCCCATCATCTCTCATCCTCCTCCTCCTCCTCTTCTTCCTCCTCCTCGTCCTCCTCGTCCTCGTCCTCCTCCTCCTCCTCCTCCTCCTCCTCCTCCTCCTCCTCCTCCCTCTGTTCCATCCCTGGCCTCGTCCTCATAGCACCCCGCAGTTGCGGGTAAGAGTGAGGGGGCGGCGAGGACATCGTCAGTCTGCGAGGCTCTGATGAAGCCCGCCGCAGGCGCCTAATTTTTCCAAAGTATGCAGTGAGCCCGCCGCAGGCGCCGTTTTCTTCGTTAAAACAATGTGGGTGGATCGCGGTGTGGGTCGCGGGTGGGTCGCGGCTGGGTCGCGGGCGGGCCGCGGGCCGGGTCGCGGATGGGTCGCGGGTGGGTCGCGTATGGGTCGCGGGGTGGGTCGCGGGTGGGTCGCGGGGTGGGTCGCGGGGTGGGTCGCGGGGTGGGTGGGTCGCGGGGTGGGTCGCGGGTGGGTCGCGGGGGGGTCGCGGGGTGGGTCGCGGGGTGGGTCGCGGGGTGGATCGCGGGTGGGTCGCGGGGTGGGTCTCTGGGTGGGTCGTGGGGTGGGTCGCGGGGTGGGTCGCGGGGTGGGTCGCGAAGTGGGTCGTGGGGTGGGTCGCGGGTGGGTCGCGGGGTGGGTCGCGGGGTGGGTCGCGAGGTCGGTCGCGGGGTGGGTCGCGGGGTGGGTCGCGGGGTGGGTCGTGGGGTGGGTCGTGGGGTGGGTCGCGGGGTGGGTCGCGGGTGGGTCGCGGGCGGGTCGGGGGGGGGACGACGACAACAACAAGCAGAATCCTCCCCGCGGATCCCCACTTTCAGCCACGCACCTGGGAACAAAGAATGAGCGTTCGGCCCCCTCACTCTGATAACTAACTTCTCCCTGTCGCACCCCGAGGCCAGTTTTTAGGGCGGGCCGGGCGTTTCGTCTCAGGCTTCCTCACCACTTGTGATCCTCAAGCTCCAACATTGGCAACGGTTTCACAGATGGAGGGCGGGTCGTTTTCAAAATGTGGCTCTCGCCTTTAGCGCCGCGCACATTCATTTTAAACATTTGCCAGCATTTCGCGGATTGAGGGCGGGTGGTTTTCAAAATGTGGCTCTCGCATAGCGCCGCGCACTTTCGTTCTACAACGTTGCAAGAATTTCACGGATTGAGGGGAACCCATTTTCAAAATGTGGCTCTTGCCTTAGCGCCGCGCACATTCGTTGTACAAAAATGTAAGGAGTTTCACGGATTGAGGGCGGCTCCTTCTCAAAATGTGGCTCTCGCCTTAGTGCACGTTCGCTTGAAATATTTGCAGGAGTTACGCTGGGTTCCAAGATCAAACTACCAGGAATTGCGTTTTGGAGGGGTTCGGGATTCTGAGGGTGCAACAGGTACTTTCATTCGCGGTGCTGAAATCCCAAGAATGGCGTTCTGGCACGATTCTGGATCGACAAAACGCAACAGTCAGGTTGATCCGTGGCGTTGGAATCCCGAGATCAGATGTTTTGGCATGCTTCAGGGTCTTCAAACGGTTGTCTTCCAACGAGGCAATTCCCTCAATGGAAATGAACCGTTGTAGGAGCCTCTGAAGAGGGCACTTGGAGGGAGGGATTATTAGAATATCGTTGATGACTCTTGGGTTTACACTGGTCCTGCTCCTCCTCCTCCTCGTCCTCTTACTTTATCGTCCTCCTCCCCATCATCCTCCTCCTTCTCATTCTTCTCTACCTCTTTCTCCTTCTCCCCCGACTGCACTTCCTCCTCCTCCTCTGCCTCCTCCCGTATGTTCCTCCTCCTCCTCCTCCCCCTCCTCCGTTCCTTTCTCGTCCTTCTCCTCCTCGACTTATCCTCCTCCTCCTCCTCCTCCTCGACTTGTCCTCCTCCTCCTCCTCCTCCTCCTGATCGTTCTCCTCCTCCTCTTCCTAGGCGACCCCACACCTCACGTGTTCGACGACATATCCATTGTTACCCACTGGCCGTCCGTGGCCTCCAGCGGTCTCCGATGTTCATCTGCGCGGGAAGAAAGTGGCTGCGTTTAACAAGGCGCCCGTGACGCTGTCAGTGAACACCAGACAGGATGACAACGCATACGGTGAAAACCACTCCACAGGCTGCAGTCGCGCGGTAGCTTTGTCTCGAAGGCTTCCTGGCTCAATGATTCCGCAGGGGTCTCTGAGGAACCAAACGGAAGCCAAGACAAGTGAAAACCCTAACCTCCAGAGCGCTCAGGTCCGTCAGAGAAGGTGGCACGCGACTCAAGACAACTACTCAAAACCGGTCAGGGTTGAACCTGTCTCAGGTGAGTATTGCGAACTTGGACTTGGTGTGCTATCCATTATCGACAACCCTGATCACCGACGATGCTTACTTGCTCAACGCCTACTTGGACACGAAGAACCATTCAATACGCAACGTCTTCAATTGAGCACCACACGAGTACCCGGAGCAACGGGCACAAAAATTTAGCAATGATGAATAATAGCAAGCGGAGCCGATACACGCATGCCTTCGCTTGTTCAAGGTCGTGGCAGCGGACGGTGGCTGAACTGTACAGCCTGGGACAGGGGGAGACTCCTACTGACGCTTGAATTGAAGACGCGACTGGCACCGCCAGAACGCTTTGAACGAGGGCCACACGTAGCATGACGAATGAACATCCTTGGCCGAAGGAGGGGAGCTGCGCTCCTAGGGGGCCCCTGTGACACCGAGCTTCGGCCAAATTGGGAATAGCAGTCAGTATATGAAAATTTGCGAACAGCGCGGGTCATCGTGCTCCAGGACCAGCATGGGCATCGAACCTACATCCGGGCAAGGCTGGACCTAAACGTTGTTTGTCGTTTTGTTTACGTTGTGTGCTTCTTTTTGCTCTACCTGATTTCCTGTACCTCCCTGCCGAAACGAGAAACAAAATACGGCCGAAGGCCAGCGAAACAGCGTTTAGGTTCAGCCCTGCATGTGGGGAGGAGGAGGAGGAGGAAATCATACTCATACATTGAACCGTAGAATAACATGTCCCGAAATTGTAAGTCACGAAGCAACTGAACCGCCTGCGCGGGAGACTGGAACACTAGAACTCATCGCCGAGGCGGACCACTCGTCCCCTCAGTGCGGGAAGCACGCCTGCACACAGCGCTGGCGGCCAACGCGGCAGGACGGGGTCTCCAACGGCACGCTGGGCGACTTCGGAGCTCGCCGTCCCAGGCGTTTCGGAAGCGACCGCTGGGCACTCCCACAAGATGTGCGGGATCGCGTCACGGTCCAAGGCCACGCTGACGGCGATGTTGCTCCACGGCGATGCTGGGAACCAACTTGTTGGAAACCGCCGATCCACACTCTCCTACCCTTCCACGAGGCACACGCGTCGAACGGAGACGACACGGCGAATTGCCGGAAAGCGCGAGTCACGCGTCCCCACGGCTGACTACCTACCAGACCACCCCAACCCAACCCGAAGACCCGAATTTCGGGTTGGGGGGGTATGGGTTCCATACGTGTTTTTTCGATGTTCCCCGACCCCCCCCCACTGGAAATGGAGGGTAAATTGAGGCCTTCGGGTTGGGTTGGGGTGGTTTGGTGGGTGGTGAACGGCACCGAAACCCGCACCGCCGTCGCCTACATCGCCGTCCGCGTGCCTGCGGACGGGGAGGGCGGCCAACGCAGGCGGGCAGGCTCGTCCAGGGGCGGCGAGCCCCTGCCTCGCGGCGCTCGTGCCCTTGTCCACTTGCCGCCGCTCGGACGCCCGCTTCCCGTGTGTGTTTCGGTCTCGTGCGTGCTTGTTTTGGCTCCATGGTCCAGGATGGTCCTCGATGTGGGAACAAGGAAAGGCGGCACCAACACCAGCAGGGCGAGGAGGCGCGGGGAGGCAAGGGGAGTCTCCCTGGTGGTGTGGTCCCCCCTCTCGCTCGAGACATCCCCAGCATCCAGCTCGGGGAGGCATCGTGGACCTCCTCGCTGGAGGTGGGCCCCCTGGTGGTGTTGGTATCGCTTCTCCTCCCTCCGACGATGGCTCTCGCCGAGAAAAAAATGCACACGTCCGAGCGATGCCAAGTCCAGAGGCCGGCGCAGGCGAAGCACCTCGGGCGGCGCCTCGGGCGAAGGGCGCCGGCCTGCGGGAGAGCGGAGGGCGGTCACTGACAGGACCGGAAGAGGCTCGGCTCGGGTCGGGCACGTCCCCCCCCTGCAGGCGGAGCTTGGACCAGAAACCAAAAATAATCAGAAGCTGCTCCCAGCTGGTCGACGAATACTGGAAGCATCGTCCCCAGGCTAGTATTCAATCCATGATTGAGGCTTCCTCCTGAAGGGGCCATGATTGAGGCTTCCTCCTGTAGGGGGACAGGCCCGACGTGAGGCCCGGACGTCGAAGCCCAGTCTGGCCCCCGGGCGGTCGCTCCAGCGTCCCGAGGGCCGCCGCCGGTGTGGATGTCGGCGGCACGTCGACCACCCTTGGGGGATGTGGCGGCGAGGCCGATCTTCCCACCATTCTCGGGGATGGATAGAACCCCCTTTGGCAAAACGTGGTTTACAGGGCCGT